GGTCTAGTCATCGGTAGCAATAGGAGTTACCCAAATAACCAAGGCACTAAAGTACAGTTTATCTCAACCTCTACTGTTAAGAGTGGCTTCTCTTATGCTGATGCAGCTAGGCCAATTGGAGAAAAACGTACCAGCGCGCCAACAAACCAAAACTCGCCCCGATCACACAGTTCCGCCGAAGATTGGCATCTAAACAACAAATTTAGTATGCTGGAAAAGGCGATTTTAGATCTAAACGCAAGAATGGATCAAATGTATAAGCTCATACAGGAAAATATGGATTCCAATAGAGCCTTCCGTGACTTGGTACAAAAACTAATATCCAAATGTTAAATCCGCTGTTAAAAATCGGATTATGGAACGCACGGGGCCTGGTCAAAAACAATAATGAACTCAGGCTTTTCCTAAGTTCAAACTCGATCGATATCATGTTAATAACCGAAACGCATATGCGTCCTGGCTTGAACGCATATTTGCCAGGATACGACCAGTACTACGCTAATCATCCTAGTGGCACCGCTAAAAGTGGTTCTGCAGTCATCATTAGATCAAGTATCGCTCATTCACAGAATGAGCCAATTCTAAAAACAAGCATCCAAGCGGCCAGCGTAACTATACCGACGAATGGTGGAAGCATCAAAGTCTCCTCCCTATATCTTCCTCCCAATGAAGCTTGGTGCAGGGCCGACTTTGATCTATTGCTTGCAACCTTAGGAGATAAGTTTATTGTAGGCGGTGATTTTAATGCAAAACACCAATGGTGGGGTAATTCCAGATCTTGCAGGCGAGGAAGGTGTTTGCAAGAGGCCATAGCTAGTACTACTTGCCAAGTTCTTGCTACTGGAGAGCCAACTTTCTACTCTTACAACACACGGCTTAACCCCTCTGCACTAGACTTCTTTATTGTCAACAGGATTGCCCTAAACAGACTCACCGTTGAAACAAAATATGAGCTCGCATCGGATCACCTTCCAGTAGTAGCGACGCTACATCATGCACCGCAATATAATCCCAAGAGGGAATATATTCTACCACCTGCCTCCCGTATTGATGTTTTTAAAGCCGATCTCGAAAGAAGAATTAACCTGAACGTCGAAATTAACAGCCCAGAGGATATCGAAGACGCGATATCAATCCTCATGAAGAACATTTCACTGGCTGCGTCTTCTGCTGCACCGAAAACTTTACGCTTGCCAACCCAACATAGTCAAGCTAGTCTACCACCAACGGCTGCTGCGCTCTTAAGCCTGAAAAGAAGAGTCAGGAAAGAATATGCAAGAACTGGAGATACTCGCATTCATCAAATCTACAAAAGACTGTCCAATCGACTGCAAAAAGAGCTTGCTAAAATCAGACAAGGCAGAATTGATGACATATTGGAAAGTGCTGGTCCAGATGCATCATTTAATTACTCGCTCTGGAAGCTTACGAGGCGATTTAAGAGGCTGGTCATCCCTAAGACTCCAATTAAGGATCCTACAGGTGGATGGAGCTACTCCAGTCAGCAGAAAGCTGAAATCTTTGCAAACAGCCTAGAGGAAAGATTTAAGCCTTTTGACTTTACAACAGCAGATAGGCGAAGGGTAGTCGAGCTTAGGCTGGAGATGCCATTCCAAATGGCCTTGCCTGCAAGCCCAGTTACACTTCAAGAAGTGGTACAGCAGATAAAAAATCTAAAGGTAAAAAAAGCGCCTGGAGAAGACCTTTTAGACAACAGGACGCTGAAACTGCTCCCCACAAGGGCTCTGCTGTATATTGTCTTGCTCATGAATAACATACTCAGGCTGAGGCACTTTCCAAACTGCTGGAAAATGGCGCTAATTACGATGATTCCAAAGCCAGAGAAACAGCATACTGAAGTAGATGGATATAGGCCGATTAGTCTGCTACCTGCCCTCGGGAAGATGATGGAACGCGTGATTCTGGACCGGATTCTCCAGCTCGAAGCCGTGACGCGCAGAATTCCAAAATGGCAATTTGGTTTTCGAAGAAGTCACGGAACACCGGAACAGCTCCACCGTGTGGTCAACTTCGCCCTGGAAGCCATGGAGCAAAAGATGTACTCAGTGGCTGTGTTTATGGATATTAAACAAGCTTTTGATAGAGTGTGGCATGATGGTCTCCTCTGCAAATTGAAAGGCATGCTAACTCCTCAATTGTTTCAACTCATCGAAAGCTTTCTAAGGGACAGAAGCTTCAGAGTTGCTGTTGATGGAGTGAAATCCACGAGGCGCTCAATTTGTGCAGGAGTGCCCCAAGGCAGTGTTCTCGGTCCTACCCTGTATACATTATTTACTGCTGATATGCCTGCACCGCAAGAGATCATTGGAGTATACGAGGATGACGCACTAATAGCTACTTACGCAGACGACACTGCGGTGCTTACCAGAAGCAGAGATATCGATGTAGCTTCGGAAGCCTTACAGCAGTATGTAAGTAGTTTCGAGAAGTGGGCTCTGAATTGGAACATTGGTATCAACGCCAGCAAGTGTGCGAATGTCACATTTACAACAAGGCCGTCGTCATGCGGAGATATCACAATGTTGGGGTCCACGCTCAGTCATACAAATTCGCACAAATATCTTGGTGTAATTCTGGACAGAAGACTCAACTTCAGCAAGCATACAACAATGGTCAAGCGATCGGTCATGGCGAAAGCCGGAAAGATGGCATGGCTGCTTGCACCATGCAACAAGCTGTCCCTGCACAGTAAGGTGACAGTATATAAGTCCATATTAAGTCCAATATGGAAGTATGCGCTACCAATTTATGGCATTGCCGCTGCTTCAAACCTAAACAAAATAAGAGTTGCGCAAGCTAAAATACTCAGAAAAATATGCAACGCTCCCTGGTATATGCGCACTAGGGACATCGAAAGAGACTTATGTGTCCCCAAGGTTGGCGATGTCATTCAAATGCACGCAAGCAATTACGAGAAGCGACTCGGCAGTCACCCCAACGCACTAGCGAGGCGGCTCCTGTCCAAACCTAAGAAGAGAAGACTGAAGAAGTGCCATCCAAAGGATCTCCCCACAAGAGCCCTTGTATAAAATACATAGTATATATCATAAAATATAATCATTTTTCATGTAAAACATTGTAAATATTGTATATATGTACATAGATATAAGTGCGTCCTATAGATGCTTACTATAGACAACTTTTGTATTCCCTAACTTTCAACTAGCTTAAGCTGCCATATTGGTAGTAGAAAACTAGTTTAATAAATTGTATATATGTAAAAGAAAAGTTACAGCAATGTAAATAAATAAGTACAAAATATATGTATTATATCTTGTTTGTGGGACTGGTTCAAGTGTACTTAAAAGTTGGACTCTAATCCTTCAATCTTTTCAAAATAAGTACCTTTTTTGGATAATTGAAAAATGATGTAAGAGGGTATTATTTGCTTTATTTTTGTTTTATTTTTCTATTTTCTGATCATTAACATAGAGCGGAGGACCAATTTATTTAAAGTTTGCAGATATTGTGAAAATTCTGGGATACATGTTATACAACTTAATTGAAACTGTAACGTTAAATGATAAATCGTCTATCTTATTTGATTCCATTTATTAGTTTGAATATATATTGAATGAAAATTTTTCCACGTCCTTCAGGATGTCAATAAATCTGTCGGGCACAAGATAATTTATGCTAAGATATAATAATTTAAAATTAGAAACTTTAAAAAAGAACGAAACTTCTCAACCTAAAAACATGGAATAGCCATCGGTTATCTTCGATTTTACCATGTTTACGATTGCGTAAATTATGTGTTGTACTTCATTTATGTCAAAGCAAAAGCTATATCCGTATCATCTATAATATGGCTTAGAACAAATTATGATTATTCCCCGACTAAGTTCTTATAATTTACTGTGTTATGTTTGAAAACGGAATAATTGTATGGAAGAATTTCAGGAAAATTTTAATAATTGCATACTTGAAAATATTTTTCGTTGGCTACATATTGATAGAGTGTTATGCCTTACAATTGATTTAAATTAAACTTCGACTTTCATTCCCTTTTTTCAGGTGGCCAATCGACGACTGTGCTGCTAGAAAACAAAATCTGAAACTACTAATACGTGTTAAGGCTGAAAATTCTTGCAAAAAGCAAAAGAAAATATAGAAATAAGTGCAACGTCAGAAAACACATACACTCTTAAACAAAAAATCAAAAAGGAAAGAAAAACGGAAACAGCAAGTAAAATAAACTGAATTTAATTTATGAAAACACCGAGAAACAAAACACATGCAACGAAATGGGTTTATTAGGGCTTGTAACCAAGGCGAAAGGTGAGCTGCAAAATGGTGGCAAATTTTCACATTCGTGTGCATGTGTCCAGCCAGTTGTTGCTGTTGTTGTAGTTGTTGTTGTTGCTGCTGTTGGTTGTTAACAACTTCCAAATAAATTCGTGATGTAGTTGTGCGCGAGATAAGCGCGTTTTCTAAAACAAAAAGCAAATGCCAAATAGCAAACATGTACAACTACTAACTGTGTATGATGTCGAGCCATAAACGCATATATGAATATAAATATACATACATGTTTAAAAGTGAAATGCAGCTACAACAACAACAACAACGACAACGACAGTCGACACAAACAACAGGCAGCGCTCGAGTGGCGCGCTGTTGAGCCTCCACCTGTATGTGTACATATGCATGTGTGTGTGTGTGGCATATTCAAGTGCCGTCTAAATGAGACTCCAGTGCATGCTTGCGGCAAGCGAACGAAACCAAACCCAAATTAACCGCATTTACAGGCTGAGCACTTACAACATTGCCACACAGTCCTTGTTGCATTTAAAGTTTTCAACAAAATAATAATAACGTTGATAATTAACCTGCTCCTTGCAGCAGTAAGTACCAGTACCAGTGCCAGTGCCAGCGCCAGCGCAAACGCAACTCAAGCAATGTCACCACACTCAGCACCCCAGGACGAAAGGGAGAGGCGGCATTCACAGTTGCTGCCACTGCTGACTGCGCTTGCCATGCTTACGGCATTGCCACCTGCTGCAGCCACAAGCGGCTTACGCGTGCCTACCTTCCTGCTGGAGCCTGCCGCCCGCCTGCTCTTCGGCAACGACACCGGCTCCCATGTTAGCTGCACAGCGCACGGCAATCCGCCTCCAGCTGTGTCTTGGGTAATGCGCGATGGCACGCTGGCGACGCAAGTGCCAGGACTGAGGTAAGTTTGGGGCTACCCGCCGGTTGCGGTTTTCGCTGCCGCCAGCCTTACGCTAGAATAATAAGCGAACGGATCACGACTGTGGATTGTCTGACTCATATCGCTTAGAAGTCACATTGTTGTGGCTTCCGCTTATGGTTCCATTTCAGCTGCAGCTCTAAATTATGCATGAGTTGCTTGCAAATAAATACCAGAGGGAAAATTGTACCAAGAGATAGTAATTTGTACAATATAATTTTTGATTTGCCATTCTTAATATTTTCATCTCAAACCATAATTTAAACAAGTAAAAAAGCTAAAGTCGGGTGTCCCGACTTTGAAATACTCTGTACATATGTTTACAATAATTATAGAAAATAAAAAAATTAAGAAAATTAAAAAAAAAACATGTTAGCAGTCAACCAAACAGCAACATCAACAGCCGCGGACAGCGCTTGGGCAGCGCTTGAACAGCGCTGCAGCAGCAAATATATTTATGGCTATAAGTTCTTGTTAAATCGGACTATCATAGTGAAACTTGGCATACAGACAATAATATTTTTTTTTTTTTTTGATAAAACTTTAATTTTACTGTTATTATTTCCAACAACTTAAATTAAACTTATAGAAATATACAAATACAGCTTAAACTAGGAGTTTATACTTATTTAATTATTTATTTCATTTAATTATTAATTATTTATTCTTATATTAAATAAATCTATTGGGAAGATCAGCAGGGTGTGATCTCTTCAGCCTCCTTCTCACTACTCTTCTTCCTTTTCGTCGCCGTTTCAGCAGGCGCCTTGCTAATACGTTCACATGGGTGCGCAGACGCTCCATGTATTGCGCAGCTTACTTATTTAGCACGTCTCCAACTTTTTGTACCCCTAGATCCCTTTCTATGTGTGCCGTTTTCATGTACCAGGGGGCTCCTCCTCTAAGTCTGTTGCTGGGATGGTCGGCTTTGAGTATATTGTAGCCTGGAACATAGACGCAGATGCACTCCTGTAGCCAACTCTCAGTGATGAGCATCACGTCTATGTTATGTTCTGTAAGAAACTGCTTGAGTTCCTCAACATGTCCAGAAATTCCACGCGCATTCCACAATCCAAGGCTAAGTGTGCGTGTCATCATTTTTTGGCATTTAAAAGACTTAAACACATTTGCTTAAGGAAGTGATTTGTCTCCTGCAGTTCCTTAAACATGGCTTGTAGTGTGTCAACTTTCGCTGTGAGGGCCTCAATGGCCGCCTCAAGCCTCATGCTACGGTTTGTGTTTATGTGTTGCCAATTCTGTTCCTGGTTGTGTATGTCCAAGTTGTCTCTTTTTTCTATATTAATTCCCTTTTTTGAGCCCGAGTTCCGATCAGAATTGTGTACGCTAGTACGGGTACGAAGCGCCTCTGCGTAAGAAATGTTCTCTTGAACCATAACTGCAGGAACAAATTCTTGCCGCTTTTTTGGATTACTGGCACGTTTAGCTTTATTTATCATTGGCCTCCGTTGATCAGCTTTGGCTTTGTAGACACGGCATTCCCCAGGCCAAACCGGGTGACTCCCACCACAATTGGCGCAACAAAAGCTCTCCAACGAGGTTTCCTTGCATTGCGCAGTTGGGTGGTCTTGCGCACATTTTCCACAGATGAAAGGTCTCCAACAATAATTCTTTGTATGACCAAATCCCTGGCATCTGTGGCAGAGGATTGCATCAAGATTTTTTTTGAGTATCTCAACTATGACCCTTTGACGCCCAATTTGTTTAATTTGGAGTGCGTTCCTAAAATTCTTCTCCTGAGCCAAATTTATAAAGAAGAAATTATTGGGACTAAGTTCCTCAAGAACTTCACCATTTCCTTTATGTGGAAGCTTCCTTGGTGGAGGGTAGTAGACACGAATGACGCTATGTCCATGTCGCCTGAATGCATCCTTGATTTGTTCTTCAGGGGTTGTGCTTGCCAGATTTCGAACTATAAGCTTGTAAGCCTTGTCTTCTTTTAGTTGATAGGAGAAATTGCGCGCATTCTTTTCCTTGAGAAACTTAACTAGACTTCGAAAAGAGGAAGAGTCCTCTACTTAAACTCTTACTTTGCCTCCCTTACCGAAGTGGTAAGAATATTCGCTGGAGCCAAGTACCACGTTCAATTTAGCCTCCATAAGGGACACATTTGAAACATCCTCGATGTTGATAGGGGGCGGTTTTCGCGTTCTGGATACGATTTCTTTATTGTCATCGGCTTGCTCAATTTCCATATCCTCAGCGAGCGCTTCGGCATGGGCGATTTCAGTCTCCGTTGGATCATGATCCTGATGTTGGTAGTACAAAAAAGGTAAAAAAAAAAAACATGTTGCCTACTCGCCTTCCCTCGAAAGTATGCTACATTTTCATTACATCAGCAAAACAAAACATGACAAAATCAATGCTGCTGCAGTGCGTTTGTTGTGGCCACAAGTAAAAGCCACATGAGGGAACAAACACAGCACAGCCAAAAAGAAAGCCAGGCCAGGTCTTTGTATAGCAAGAAATAAACAAACGCAGACAATAAACAAACGCGACGCAGCCGCGCATGAATAAGTGAAGCTAAACAATGGGAGTGTGGATGGTAGGGTAAAGGAATTATACAAAAAAGTAAAGGCGTGGTAATGTTTAGCAGCCAGACAACAACAACAGCAACAACAATAAAAACAACAACATGATCAGCTGCAGTTTCAGCATTCATATTGTTTGCTTGAATTGCTGCGAATGCGTCGCAGTTCATATGTTAATGTCGTGTCCCATGACAGCAGCCGACTGCTTTGTCTTTATTTCAATGTCTGCGCGCTTGCCTGCACGTCGTTTGTTAACATTTAAAATATTAAAAAGCTTCAAAGGTTTTCGTTCCTCCTTTTGTCAAGCGAGGCATCGTTCGTGGAATGCCAACACAAATCGCTAGTTTAAATGCGACAATATTTCACACATTGCTTTTATTTATGCAATGCATTTTTATATAACCGTGTCAACAATTTTGATTGCAAAAGAATTGCTGAAGAAAGAAAGAATTCTATTCTTGATATATGTATATTTTCTGTTACATTTTTCTTGTCACTGGTAGATTGTAGATTTTAAACTGATTAGATGTGCCACTTTTTATAAACAAACTTTATAGTAAGAAATGCCTTCTAAAATAGTTGTATAGGGTAATAGAGCTACTAGGTACAATTTGTTATCGTATTATTCTTAGAAGCTGTAGCCTCCACAAATTCTTCAGGTAAATATATTTACGCTATGAAAAGACAGATAATTCTTTAGCGTTTTTAAATTCAACTGAATACTTCCAATGTTTAATTTAAGTAATTACAATCAATTTGAATGAAGTGGGTGCTTAAGCACTGTACCAGTGTTTAGGCAGGCATTTTAATATTTATTATGTTTTGTAATTAAGAAAGAGGTGTCATCTATAAATCTTATCTCTGTCCATGCTCTCCTATATAAGCATACGAGTTTCAAATATAAATTTATATTTTAAACATTTTTGAACTGGTAACTGAATATACTCTTACTTATGAGTATAAAAGTAGCTGTTAAAGAGTTCAGAGTAACCATTATTCGAGAATGGGAAGAATTTGACATTCAAATGCTCCAAAACGTGGTGATTTCAATGCCAGGTGTTGAACAACCTACAAACAATGAATTTGTCTTAGTTTTTTATTTCGATTTTCTTAATTTTTTTTATTGTATTTTCTTATGTATTATTTGCTTGAAGTCTATTGATAATTTTATTAAGCTTAAAGAATAATTTTTTTTAGTATATTGAATGGTTAAGTTCTACTTTACAACGTAGTGACATATTTAATTGTTTCATTAAATGTTGAATTTTCACTTACAATGTGTAACCAACATTTGTTCTGTGCATCAATTTTTCCATAATCAACTCAATTGTAGTTCTTTATCTCGAGCGATTTAAGCTCTTTGTTGATTAACCAATGAATCAGTCTTCATCTATTTATAATTCAATTCCAGTTTTCAATGCCGCTTGGACTAAAATTAGATGGTACAGCGTTCAAGCGTTAAAACCAAATGATAAATACTTTTTGAAAATGTTGACAGGGTTGGGACAATGTGTAACATGGGACTAATGGCTTTTTTGTGGCTTTTTGTTGTTGCCCATTAGTGCTGTCAACTCAATTAAAATAAATTTTGTGCATGCAAGGCATGTTTTGATTAAGCTAGTTTGCGTTTTTGTTCGTACCTATTCGCCGTGTTATGATTTGTATACGCATAAGTGGATTAGTGTAAAACAGACACATGCATATTCTATATAAATAACAAAAAAAAAAAAAGAGATGAAAATGTGAAAAAATATGGTAAAAAGTGATACTTTTATACAGAAACAAATCGGAATAAAAAAATTCGGTGAATTTACTAAAAGAATTTTTGTGTTTTGCGAGATAAAATGACATTTGAAATACGTGATCACTCGCTCAGCAAATGTTGAAAAGCGTTGTGTGTATTTGTTTGTGTGTGCATGTGTATCAATGTGGTTGTGTTGGCGCTCGGCATGTGACACCGGAACCAGAGACTGGCGTCTAGAAATTGGCGACCAGCGACGATTGCCAGTCTCCGGAAAATAAACTCGGACTGGACAGCACAGAAATGAAACAAAATTTATTTTAAGCTGCTAAAGAGCATAGTTGAGTTCATGTGACGTTTGTATATAGACGTGTACTTATCTCGTCGCCGTCAGTCGCGCTCACTGCAGCTTTCGGGACGGGGTTGCTGTTTCCATTGCTTTTGCTACGTAGTTGATTTCTATGCTCGCATATACTCTCCATTCGGTCTATCATGTGAACGCAATAGACGTAAACAAATTGCTGGCACTTAAACATTTTGCAAACTGCGCTTCACGAAGTTTTTTGATGATGTTTCTGGCGCTGCTTTGGCAATGGCGACGACGACGACGACGATGGGAACGAGGATGGCACGAAAAGCAAGAAGAACAGAAACAGCGCTTGTTAGTTGGCTGATGTTTTGGGGCATGCGGATGATGATTAGCGGCAAGTTGATGCTGTACTTTTATGCACTGCATGTTGATGGGATAGATGTGTTTTGCATGAGTTATGTATGTGACGTGCTGCTTTGGTGAGTACTTGAGTGTTGAGGACGCTTAAGTGGACGCAGGGATTTTAAAACACCACAAAATGCATGTCATGAATTATTTAAAGAGTACCATACCAAAGCGGTTGACACAGATTACGAACTGGTGGGATACACACAAAGAGGAACGCAACTATTTCATGAAATTAGTGAAAAGCAAACTGTAAACTGATTGTGTGTGCATTGGGATGTGTTCTGAAATTCGTTATTGAAATTCTTAGTGAAGGGTTATACAAAGGCAGTGCAAAGCTAAAATATAACTACAACCCTTAGCGTCATCACACTCAGTTAGAAAAGTCTTGTCCTTCCATTGATAATGCAGAATGTTCTTTTACAAAAAATCAGCCGGCTAAGATTTATAAAAAAAAGACACCATAAATTATTTAAATATATTTTTAATCAGCCTCCCAACTCAAACAGATCTCGACGCGTCCATTCATTTGTCCGGCCATCAGGATGAGCGCCTGTATTTCTGAAACTCATCCTCCTAGATTCTTTAACATCTGATTTTTTTAAGTGAAACTTCATATGTGTTTTGAATGCTGGGTCGGCAACCTTTTCTGTGATGAAACCAATAGCACAGTAACAGGCAGTAACTAAATGAACAGCAAGTAGGCCAGCTTGCGAAATTAAAATTATGAATGCAAACAAAAATCTGCTGTGGTATCTAGATGCGTGCATGAAACCAACGGCTCAATCTGAAATGTAAATAACACCAATGTCTTCTCGTATTGATCAAAACACATTGCTGCACAATCGTCAGCAGTTATTTGCCTTCTGATTATTTATGCCTACCTGGTAGGTTATAATATTTAAAAGTCACTGTTTCATGTGGTTTTTGGTGATTCCTCTCGTTTTCAGTTCTTTTAGGAATATTTGTATTGCGAAATAGAACTGCGTTGTCTGAGGTTCATGAAAGCTAGATCGGCAATCATCAGAGACAGCAGGCTTTTTATACTCTGTACATGAAATGTACATTTCATGTACAGAAGTATATTAGGTTTGCGGGAGCTGAAAAATGTAGCAGGCAGAAGAAGGCGTGGCAGACCCCACAAAGAATATATATTCTTGATCAGCATGAGAAGACGAGTCGATCTAGCCCTGTCTGTCTGTCTGTCCGTCTGTCCTAGATCGCCTATATTTCAGAGACTATAAGAGCTAGGAAACCCAAATGTTAGTCCCAGATGCCTTATGTTAATACGAAGAAAATGTGTTTTTTGGAATTCCCCTCCATCCCACCTCGTCACCGCAAATCGTGATTTTCTCTTACTCCCGTAATTCTTGGAATTTCGAACTTAAATACCCCCAGTTAGTAATTATGTGTCCGTACGCCAAGTTTCATCATGATAGACCGACTTAACAAGAAGTTATAGACATAAATATATTTGCTGCTGCAGCGCTGTTCAAGCGCTGCCCAAGCGCTGCCCGCGGCTGTTGTTGATGTTGCTGTTTTTTTGACTGCTAACATGTTTACTCAGACACGAATATACGAGCATATATACTCACATAGACGCAATTGCTTTGTATATGTGCAATTATACACCCTTTACGTGAGTTCGAATACCAAAAGAGGTAAAATCGATCAAATTTTTTTTTTTATTCTCTTACTTTTTTAATTTCTATACTTATTCTAAACATATGTACAGAGTATTTCAAAGTCGGGACACCCGACTTCAGCTTTTTTACTTGTTTAATTAAGAGTTTTTTGAAAAAGATCATCATTTGATTTCCTTATTGTGGGCTCGCAATGTTGGTACTGGTGCAACGTTGGGTGCTGGAGGCGCATTTTTTTCCTTTTCCATCAAATAAGTATAAAGCCAGTTGTGCATATATGCAGCCCACCAAAGGCATTACGTTTATTGCATTTTTATGTAAATTTACACTTTTCGCTTATATGTATGCATTTGTACAAGTATGTAGGATATGAAAATGTGGAGGCTGCCTGCAACACAATGCAACACAATGCGCTGCATGTGGTGCGACAGCAAAGTGGCTGCCATTTTGCCACTTGCGCGCAACAAATTTTTGTGTTACTCTCACTGTAAATATGTAAATAAATAACGCAGTTGGAAAAAGCTCAGGCCAGCCGAGCACTTTTCACTAAAATATGGCGTGCTTTTCTTCTCTCCCACTTATATATTTTCTTGTGTATTTTTAGAAAAATATCTGGCAACGGCACATTGTATTTCCCACCATTTTTGGCGCAATATTATCGCACGGATGTGCACGAGGCCACCTACCGTTGTCGGGCTACCAACGAAGCAGGCACGATATTGAGCCGCAATGTGCAGGTGCAAGCAGGTAAAGTACAGTTAAGTGCAGCAAAGTAGCTGGCACTGAATGTGGTAACCATTAGACCAGACACACACACACAACACACACACTGATACACCCACCAGCTTATATTGACAGCACTAAACAGCCGACATTTTCAAGCTGTGCACGTTTCGTTGCGTCCCAATGCCACCCCAACCCACTCTTGGGATATTCTGTAAACAGAGCAGATACATTTTTTATTATTTATTCTAGCTTGCTTTTTGGTATGTTTTCAGCTTACCCGAATGTCACCTGAGCTTCGCTATCTGTTCATTTCGCTGTAATACTCTCTCCTTTGTTACATACGCTGGGAATTCGCAGCATATGCTGCATATCTTGAGGCGCGAATCATTCATTCCATTTTTCATTTGCATTTTTGGCTGCTTCCTTTGGTGAAATCGTTGAGCCATTTGACCTCGAAATCAGTCTCACTGTTTATTTGCACATATTTCCATACAGGCCCTCCCCCTTTTTCCCCCACACACACACACACACACATAAACACCCAACGATGCATGATAGTCGTTTAAAATCTCATTCAATATTTACACTTTGCATTTCATGGGTATCATTTTTGCCATTTTTTATATTCATCGGCGCCACATATCCATTGTCTCATCCGGGCCGTCAGTCGTGCGGCCCTCTTGCCCTTAACATGTAATTTCAAGCAATTTCATTCATTTAAACTGCTGCTGCTATTTTTGTACTGAGTCCGTTTATTGGACTACCTCGGTCGCCAGTGGCGATGCAGAGCCTCACCCCAGTGGTCGATAAGAGACGGACACGCAAGGCGCTCGTGAGCTTGCAGGTTGAAAACTCCAAAAAAGTTAAGCACATGTTTAGAGACATTTCGGAAAATAGTCAAAATAGTTAACAATGTTTTAAGTTAAAGTTTATGCACAAATTAAATGGAATTGCTCATTAAACTATGAGTAGAAGCATTCTTTAGTTCCTCGCTTTCGTGAGCTTAGTAAATACAAATAATGATATACTTGTATGATAATATCAAATTCATAAATTTAGCCCTAGAACGTAAAATTTTTAAGTTTTGAACTATAGTAGTTGTACATACAATTTTGGAAAACATTTTTTTTTTTTGTCAAATTTTAATGTCTCTTTCAAATTAGTTATTCCAAACACTTGATAGGTCGGGGGAAACGAAAAGTGATCTCTAAATGTATAATATATGTTTTGAATTTCAATTGTGTTTCATTTTTTATATATTTATCTACTTTATCGATTCCTTATAATAAAACATTAAAAACTAGAAGATATATAAAAGTACTATCTTGGACCAACCGAAATGCTTTTTCATCAGAAACAAGAATAGCATTTATCTGATAATCTGAATATTAAATAGTTGTTACTAGCTTAAGGGCAACAACTGGACTTTGGCTGACAGCTTTTTCTTCACGAGCTCATCTTCAGCGTCGAACATCGTCCCAAATCGTTTTATGCGCTCATCTGTATGCGTAGTTGTTAACTTTTCCTCTCTTTTTCCCTCGTTTATTCTCCCTTGCTCACACTGTGCTTTGTGTCTTTGCAGTGGTGCGTCGTCAATTCCACGTGCATGTGGAAAACACTGAAGTCTATTTGGGAAATTCGGCGTTGATTAAGTGTGCCATACCGGAATATGTGCGTGCGTATGTGCGCGTGGCCAGTTGGCATCGCGGCGAGGAGGTACTGTTGCCGGATCTGTCGGATGTTGGTGAGTGTTGCCACATTTTTGAGCTGACTTCTTTTTCATTTTTGTTGTTGCTCTGTGGCTGTTGCTACTATTTCTGTTTTCTGTTGTTATTGTTTCGGCAATGGCTGGCATGGCTTCACATCTGCACATATGTGCGTATGTATGTAAGAGTATGTACGCGTGTGTGTGGATGTTTATCTGCTGTTGAAATTTATGTACACATATTTTTGCCTGCCAGTTGTTTCCACAAGCACACAAATGTAGGCACTGCTACACTGCTATTCATACAAACCTACACCTCAAGGGAGTCAAAAGCACGGTGGGCTACGCCACAGTTGACATTTATTGGAAAATTTGTTACGTATACGCGCTGTGTGCGCACAGTGCATGAATCGTACTTTGATTTCAGCTTCAGTTTTCGGTAGGGGCTGACATTGTTGCTATTTGGCTATAGGAGAATGCTATCTGCAATAGACGGAGCGTTCGTTATTCGTTGTTGAAATTGTATAATAAACCGCCAATGTTTTTGCAGCGGGTCGCTATGTGGTGCTCTCGTCCTCGGGCGATCTTTACGTGCGCTCGGTGCGCACCGAGGACGGTCTGGTGAAGTTCAGTTGCCAGGTCACGAACACGCTGAATGGCGAGCGTCAGCGCAGCGATGCGGTCATGCTGCAAGTGAAAGGTGAGCATTTGTACCAGGGGTGCAGGGGGTAGTGCCAGTCGATGGATATTATTTTCCTTCACACACAATTTTTCGTTTCGCCCTCAGAGCTGAGCAAGAACCTGGCTCCACGCACCACACAGAAACCGGTAATGGAAATACATGTGGAGCGTGGCAACGATGCTCACCTTCCCTGCAATATCCAAGGCAATCCATTTCCCATATTCACGTAAGTATGCGTTATTTACTGGAGTGGGGAGAAGAAGGCCACATCTGCAAGTACCTTCGGCTGGTCTCAAAATATATCTGCTCTTTGTGTTGCTAATTTTTGGCACCTGTCTTATATTTGTATTTGTATCTGTGCCGTGCCAAATGTATCTAAGGCAATAAAACAGCAGCACGTACCAGATGGATGGGCGTAGAAGAAAAACAGAAGCTCAGTGCTAGTATTTTGGGGGCTGAGATGAAGGCGGCACGTTTATAGACAACACTTAAGTGCATTTGAATGTTTGCCCTGGGACGGCGTTTTATCTTTTATAAGGACTGCTGTTTTAGTGTTAATTACGTGACTTTACATTTCCACAGCGGGCATATAAAAAGGTCTTCCTTCATTATCTTTATTTTTTCATGGCTATACATTAGTGAGCTGTGAACTAATTTTCCCCATTAAGATCACAATTAGGCAGAAGATAAAGTAGATGCCAGACAAGTTCGTTTAGGAACAAAGAAGAGGTTCAATGAAGAAATTGGTAGAGCTTGTGTAAGCACTTTTGTTAACTTCTGACTTTTGCGCCTGCAAAGTAGTTAATGATGGACTTCGTTAATTTTGAGGGATATGTGTGTTCTTATAATTTAAATCAGATATCAATTAAGTGGGGGGAAACACATGTAGAATATATATTTTTGGCAAAAAAAAAGTAGTTGCAGGCACACAATTCAGAGCAATTAAATATAGTAGAAGAGAATATTGGAGAGCAAACACTTTTATAATTGGGGTCAACAGGTGTAGTTCGTTAAATTAAAATTTCTTATGCAATTTCAGTTATCAGTTTGGTTTGTTTTTGTTCAGTATCCACCTATTCGCAATTGCTATATATGATTATTCACGATACCCGTTTGACCGTCTTACAGTCTTAATCACTATTCCCTTCTATTTGCACCGATGGTTTTTATGACGAACACAATGGGTCGATGCCGACAACTTAATTTTTTAGAAACTTGCTACGACGCAGATCAGGATAACCTCTTAGATCATTTTATAGATGGCATGGGTATTAAACAAACTAATAAGTGTGAGTAACACAAGCAAATGAGTAATTTTTCAGGCGATTAGCTTAATTATAGTCAGTTTCGAATTACCTTTTGTAATCGTCGAACTCACCCCAAACTACGACTTTCCAACTCTTTCATAAACTCAATATGCAATTGGTTCTCAAAATACGTCAATTAAATTTTCAACAACAGAGAACGCTACAGTCGAGCAAGCCCGACAGTGTAATACCCTGTACCCAGGTAAACTTCCGTCACTGAGTTATATGCGCCCAAAGCAGCAGCAAAAGAGGAAGAAGAAGAGCGAACTTGTTGCTGAAGTTTGGGGGGGTTGTACTGGCGAGAATATGTTTTGCTAATAACTTTTCTTAGAATTGACCGAATTATATAATAATTATTAAACAACAATAGATAAATATGTATAAATTATGTGTGCAAAGTTTGGTTTAGGTAGCATTTGAAATGTGGATGCCATCGACGAAATTCTGTAGCGGGAGAAGGGGGGGAAATTTCCAAAAAATAAAATAAACTCGTCCTTTCTCGGACCTAGGAGAATCTAGATTGGCAGATTGGTTATTCTAGCTTTTATAGTTTCTGAGATCCTTGCGTTCATCCAGACGCAGAGACGAACGGACAGACGGACAGACGGACGGATGGACGGACGGACATGTCTAGATCGATTTCTCTCGTCATGCTGATTCAGAATATATATACTTTATGGGGTCGGAGATGCTTCCTTCTGCATGTTACATACTTTGCACAAACCTAATATATCCTTTTTACCCTACGGGTACAGGGTATAAAAAGTTGAAGAGCCAAATGGTCGGTAAGAAGATCCGTTTTGTGGCTGCCTGCCACATTTCCCCAGTGCTTTGCTAATATTCTGGCACTCCAAGGAATAAGCAACAACAACCAATAACTGTCAGGCCGTAATAAAGAAAGCAATATCGAAACTTAATTGCCTTGTTTACCAATATATTTAGTGCTCAATATATCGGCTTACAAATCTATTTGATGAAACAACCAGTAGCAGAGGCCGCCCCTGTCAATGAGTTGGCACTAAAACATATCAAGTAACCAGACGTGAAGCCATCACAACTAATTAGCAAAATAGAATTGCAAAAAGGAAAACAAAAGGAAAAACAAAAACATACTCGTAAGCACATTAAATTGCTGCGCCGAAACTTGGGGCTTATTAACGGCATCCCTGACTTGTTAATAAGCACCATAATTTAACAGTCTGTTTCACTTAGCAGGGCTTATTAAAATTTCATGCGGTTCTAAGCACTTGATGTACAAATTTTCACACAACGCGCCCACTCTCATACTATCGCACTCGCCAGGCGTAAAGGGCGCACGCGACAGGATATGACAACAGCAAAACAAAGCGCAACACAAGCACAAACACAGCGCAAGGACAAACATGCAAATAGCAGTAGCGGGTGTGGGTGTGGGTGGGGGAGGCCGAGGGCTAGCTTGGGGGCAGACTGAATGTCAGGTTGTGTTTTACATAAAGTTTTTGTTGAAAACATAAGCAGCGCCACGAGAACGAGAAATACTTGAAATATTTCACAGGCGGCAGACAGGCAGAGGGGCAGGGTGGCGGCTTGTGGCAGTGGAGGGAAGTCGGACCAAGTTGTAGACGTCGCTCGCAGACCCGCAATTTATGAGTATGCGTCCGAGCCTGCCGAGCCGTCTCTTCACTCCTCACTTCTAACTGCCACTGCTCTGTCTATTTGCAAACCGGCACATGCGACTGGCATATTATGATTGCTATAAATGCGAGAAAAATGCGATAATTTTGTTTTAGCATAAGTTTTGGCGTGCGGCGTGTTCCTCGTTTCTCGTTTCTTGACTCCCGACTACGTGGCTGGAATAAACAATGCTGCTATATGCGTGGGAAATCAGTTTGTGGCTTACGAGTTAAGCGGCTTTTATTGATTTCATTGTTTGGTCTTTGCTGATATTACGTGCATGTTCCTATGTGGCTGTGTTAAATGGCATTTGTTTTTGAGCTGCAAAGCCGGATGGTCAGGCAACAGAAACAATTTTATCTCTCACAGTATGGCAGATAGTTTTTTCAGAAACTTGAAAATGTTGATGACTATCTCGGTTTGTGTAGAAAATATAGCTAAACTAAATGGTATTGAAAGAGTATGCTTTTTAAGAAAACTTTATTTGTACCGATTCAATAGGGACATGATAGAGGAGACGGAGAAGGCATATAAAAAAAGTAAAACGATTTGTAACACAATCAATTGAATCCCCATTGATTGGTTAGGCAAAATGTTTTGTTATATTTTTCATTTTGTGTGGTAGTCATAAAGTTAACATGAATTAAGATCGATATATTAAAATGGGGACTTGCTTTACTCCGATTATTCTACCACTTGTTCTTCAATTTATTCAATTAGAGCCAACTTCATTCGTTTCGTTTTTTATAATTCAGTCTAATATCTATGGGTAAGGTGTACCGACATAAGAGTAATCAAATGCAGAAAACGTGCCTTCATATGAAAAATGAAATGTAAAAAAAATATCAACCAAAATATTTTACTTTTTATTGCCAGAATACTTAAATGAACATTAATATTTAGCAGACTTGATGCCAGATCTCGCTAATAACAGAAACTGATTTTAAGTAACTTTCTAATTTACAGGTGGTACCTAAATATACATTAATATTTAGTAGACTTGGTGCCTGATCTCGCTAATAACAGCAACCAATTTAAAGTAACTTTATAATTTACAGCTGGTATCGCGTTTCCGATTCGGCGGCCCTTTATCCCATACCCTCGTCACAGCGGGTCATACTATCGCGAACATTGTTGCTCATCAAAAATGCGGACGAGCGCGATGCGGGGAAGTGGGTAAGTAAGCAGCCGACCAAACAGTCAACCAGCCAGGCCAAAACCCCAAACCAACTGCTGACAGACAGGCACTCAGGCAGACATATACTATAATACAGCCAGAAAGACTGGCAGTGAGGCATTTGGAATGTCTGACTTTCTGTCTGGCTGTCTGGCTGTCGGTTTGGCCTTTCTCGTCAGTTGGTTGTGTGGGCAACCGAATATTGTATATAATGCATTTTTTATACGAGTGTATATACGTATAGTATGTATATGTATAGTATTGTATGTGGATGAACTCGCATGTATTGCATGTACAATGCGGCTGTGTATGGCCTGTCTATCTATGATACATAAATGCCGGCGCTGATTGATTTCACTGATTTCCTCCCCCTCCGATTCCCCGCCCCGCTCTCTTTACAGATTTGTCAGGCATCGAATCAATTCGGGGAGCAACGCATCGAAATACGGCTGAGCGTAAACTCGTATGTATCCGTGCATATATTGCCGCAAGTTCAAATTGTCAATTCGGGCGGAACGGCAATTTTCAATTGTACGACAACGGGTTCAGCGATCGATGCTATCGACTGGCTCCACAACGGAAAACCGCTCCAAGCGAATAATGCACTCAGTACTGGCCGGGATAAGTAAGTAGAGAGTAGTGCGCCAAACTGTAAACTGAAATACTGAAAACAACAAACAAAATGTGAAGGAAAGCAGAAAAAATCGAAATAGCCGAACCAGTGACTGTTGCCGGCAACAGTTTGCAACAAACGATGAGGCGTGCAACTTTGTTGCAGTTTGTTTCGTTGTTGCTGCGAGCTTCGATTTTTATCAGTTTTCATGAAAATTTTGCAAACCCAAAAAAATCATAGATTACATTCGTTCGCCAACGCTTTTGTTGTTGGCACTGTTCTGGTTTTTGTTTGTGTTGTGCTGCGAACATGTTTTATTGTTATTATTATTATTATTGATGATAAAGAAGCGAACAGCAGTTCATTTGTGCATTTGATGCTCAGACCATTTTTTCCTGTTACAAAACAAGGAACAAGTTTTTTGTGCTTTTAATATTATGTTCCTTTTGTGGCTTTTTTGATGCTTGTGCGACCGATTGCTAAAGAGCTTAACACTCATTTCCATTATGGTTGATGGCGTGAGGTCAGTTGCTTTTTTTCGGATTCAAAAAATAACCAATAACAATGATATGTTGTTGATCCTCAACATCGCAGAGGATGAGGCACCAAGTTTATATAAAAATATACATATTTATTTGTTAAATAATAAATGTTTATACTCTGTACATGAAATGTACAAGAGTATATTAGGTTTGCGGGAGCTGAAAAATGTAACAGGCAGAAGGAGGCGTGGCAGACCCCACAAAGTATATATATTCTTGATCAGCATGACGAGACGAGTCGATCTAGCCCTGTCTGTCTGTCTGTCCGTCTGTCCGTCTGTCCGTCCGTATGAACACCTGGATCTCAGAGACTATAAGAGATAGAGACACCAAATTTTGCACGAAGATGCGTTATGTGTGTATTCTATACGAGTTTGTTTTATTTTTTTGATTTTCCCCCCCACTTCCCCCCTATGGGGGTTTTCCCGATTTTCCATTCGTATAATCGCCTATATCTCGGAGACTATAAGACCTAGGAACACCAAATTTTAGTCCCAGATGCCTTATGTGAATACGCAGAAAATGTATATTTTGGAATTCCCCTCCCTCCCCCCTCTACCCCGCAAATCGTAACTCCCGTAATTCTTGGAATTTCGAACTAAAATTTTGGAAATACCCCCAGTTAGTTATTATGTGTCCGTATGCCAAATTTCATTATGATAGACCGATTTAACAAGAAGTTATAGCCATAAATATATTTGCTGATGCAGCGCTGCTGCAGCGCTGCTCAAGCGCTGCCCGCGGCTGTTGTTGATGTTGCTGTTTGGTTGACTGCGAAAATGCTTACACAGACACGAATTGATGCGCATAGGCATACATACACTCACACAGACGCAATTGCTATGTAAATGTGCAATTATACACCCTTTACGTGAGTTCGAATACCGAGAGAGGTAAAATCGATCAAATTTTATTTTTTTTTTTTCTTAATTTTTTTTATTTTCTATAATTATTGTAAACATATGTACAGAGTATTTCAAAGTCGGGACACCCGACTTTAGCTTTTTTACTTGTTTTTAATAATTGTTGGTCAATATTTAGCTTTGACCTTTACTATCCAGATCAGCATTAGATATTAGTTCTTTTAGTAAGTTCTTCTAAATAAAAACATATCTACTTATACAGATGCTAGCGTCCTGGTATTTTTATAAATTTTTTAAAAATTATACATTTTATAACACACACACACTTAACACACACACCCTTCTTTTTGCTATGAGTTACTAAAATTTATATTGGATATTATTATCTTAATGATTTTTTGTTATTCTTTATTAGGTCAGAGGTTCTCTGTAAAATATATTTGATGTTTTATTTTGTGGTAGCAAACAAAATTGATTTTCAGGAGCTCGGACCTGTGATAGGTGAACATACAGTAAAGCATTGCTTTAGTATGTCGATCCCTACTAATTCGAAGGCTTGGCCTTGGGGCTACCGGAAATTGAAGCCATATAAATGATCAATTGGGATCATCGGTATCCTCGTTGTATCAGCTAATTGACCAGTTGCTGGGACGTTGATAATAGTTGCTACACTTAAATTGTCCTGCAATTCCTTAATAATCAGTGTTCAGGCATGAAAATACGGCATCGTTGAAGGACTTGCTCAAGTGTCCCACGACTGCCTTAAAGACCAACGGACGTTACATTGCTGCCCGCGTTATGTAAACGCTATCCCACGCCTGCACACACATTGCGGTTCAAGTGTTAAGTGACAAGGATCGCGCAGCTGCATCGTTTAGAATTACACTTATCGATTAAGGTTTACACAGCTGCATACAACACTGTGTTAGTTAAGATAGGCTAACCAATAGAATTAGACGTCCTCATGCGGCGCCCTACAAACGCAGCATGCGGACCATCCTTATTCTAGATATTGTTCAATAGAAATCAAGTTCCACATGCTGCTGCCCTACAACACAGCGTGAGTTTTGAATAAAAGGACAGATCGCGCGACAGCACGAGTTCAAGTTCATTTGAAGTGTAAAAGTATCTACAATCAGCATCGTTCCATTGTACATGCTTGGAAGGCTCTAATTTCTCAAAAGCATGATTGCAATTCCGAATTTTACCGTCAATTCATGTGGCGGCAGTCCAGAAGGGCTTAGTGAATTTAAACGTCTTCAATATTAATCACGGTATCGATCGATTGGTAATCTTTTATTTGGCTGGGGGCTTTTGAATAATATCGCCTTAATATTTAAAGTGGCAATGTTTCGAGGATGATTATGAACTAAAAGCATGCTATTCAGGAGTTTTTTAAGGTAATTTTTTTACAATTTGGTTACATTATTGACATTTCAGTAAGTATTCCATTCTTTTTTGCAAATATAATAAAGCCCATGTTAACCGTCTATAATGTAGCTTCCCTACAGTGAAAGAATCCATTAAATCGGTCCAGTAGATTCGGAGCCTTTTCAATTCAAACAAACAAACTAACAAACAAACAAATCTTTCCTCTTTATAATATTAGTATAGATAAAAGAAATATTTTATTTTGATTTATTTAAAACGAGTTTCTTTGCAAAGACGCCTTGAGGGGACGTCTGACTGTGGAACTTAATCTAATCTCTCAAAAGAACCAAAAGCGAATATGCATAGCTGCTCTACATACTCTGGCTGACTTGGTTTTTGTTTAAACGTGAACGTAATGTTGATTTTATTTTGTGCATTCATATTTAAAATGCATCTGTTAGGTAAAAAACACGTTATTTACATTTACTTACAAACGCACACACGTATGCGTCTATGTGCTGCTAAGACTTTGATATGCAAAAACAATTTTCCAATATAGCCTTAAGATGGAATAACTAATTAGATTCGATTGGCCACCTTTTCGTTGTCAGTTTGGGACTACAATAACAACGAACTGATTGAGTTTCTATCCATAGTGTGGAATACATTCGCTCTACCGCACACACATCCATACATATGTAGTACATATAGTAGTACATATATACATTTGGGTATTTATGTAGCATTTATGCATACATTGTATGTAAATCATATCAGCGAGGACTCGATACGAAGGTTTTGTCATGGCTCCGCCAGCAGCTTTGTGAGTATTTTCGCTTGAATGGGTTGGACACATCTTGATAATTCAATGCAAATTACATGAAATCAGCATAATACATACATACAAATACGCAGCTCCCTTTGCACATCGGCTGCAAAAGCAAACTAAACTCGCACGCACACTAGAGTCCAGCCGGCCATCCAGCCCACAAGCAACCGAACAAGCACACAAACAAACAAACAAACAAACAAGTCTGCCTAAAGTACTTACACAAGCAAACAATGGTAGATACCATACCCAATACGGCTCTAGTGCTATTGTGTGTGAGTGTGTAGCGAGTTGTGTGTATGTGAGTGCTGGCCAGCTGTTGGCCGAAAATAAGCGAGGAAAAAAGCCAAAATTCAAGGCATGCCGAGCCAAGCGAATCAGCATAACAAATCAAGCAGAAATTTTTATGCTTATGCTAATAAAATAAATAACAAATTTCGCTCGAATGAACAAAAGGCAGCAACGCATAAACTTACATACACACATATACTAATACACGCTTATATGTGCATGTACGTAGATATGTGTTTGTACAAGTATGTAGTATACTATACTTATATGACAGGGGCAGCTGACAAAACGGTGTGAGTTTATGGCATATTGCGCACATTATGTGGATCAGGATCTCGTGCCTGGTCCTTGGTGCGTCCTTTGCTGTTTATGCAACGTTGCCAGTTTTTAAGTAACTGAAAAAAGTTGGTAAAAGTTTTTCATTTGTTGCCGGCTACCGGCTGCCTGCCGACCTTTGCAGGCTGCTGTGCGTCGTCGTCATCATTTTTAGCACTTTCCCTAAACCCTTTTTTTCCTTTTCTTCTCTCTCCATTTTTCAGTATACGCTTTCTGTCAAAGAGCTCGCTGTTGGTGCAAAATGTCGGACGACGGGACCGCGGTGTCTATCAATGTCTTGTCGAGAACCAGCGGGCCAGTGCCCAGGCGATGGCCGAACTGAAGCTGGGCGGTAAGTTAGCGTGGCTTAGTTTATGATGCACATATTGCCGTTTGCTCTCTATCACCTCTATCTGCCCATCTCTCCTCGTCTCTTTTCCACTACGCTGCATGCAGACACTGTGCCCGAATTGATTTACACGTTCATTGAGCAGAATGTGCGTCCGGGCCCATTAATATCGCTTAAGTGCTCCGCCAGTGGCTCGCCGCCGCCACAAGTAAGTGAACACACAAACCCATCGACCCACTGAAAACTGCAGCTGTGCCCGCTATACCCGAACTGATTCATAGTTCTGAACTCTACAATAGAAGCCAAGCATCAACGATACACATAATATAATTGCAATAGTATAATTCATAATCCATCATTCGTTTCTAAATATATTCAGACAAAAATGTAAATTGGAAAGTGATTCTTTTTACTCAATTTATCTCAAATTTACTTTGAACATAACTTTAAGTATTTTGCGATATGTTAAGAACCACAAATTGTTCCAGATAACGTTCGAAATAGAATTTTTGTGTGAAAACAACTTCTCATAATTTTTTAACCATTTTATAGCAGGATAAGGGCTCATTCTATAGCAAGCAGGAAATTTTTTAAAATACAAAATTTTGTAGCATATTATTTACTAACTTTTTATTTATTTACATTATTGCAGCTTAACATTAATTCTAAATTACAAGAGGGACTATTACTTACCCTATTTACTTAGTATCTTAATGCCACAAAATAAACTTTGTCGCACCTATTGTTTCTCTGCCAGCTGTTTAATTAATTGAACCGATTTCAATGAACTCTAGATTGTTTAGAAACATTACGAAAAACTCATAAAGACCTAATTTGGCGAGGATATATCTGTGACAGCTATATGATATAGTGAGCCGAAGCTTACTTAACGAGGCTTCAGAGTATCATAAACTTAAAAATAGGAATCTAATTTCGGAACACATTGCTTTATTTCGAATTTATAATTTTGTTTCAAAGAAAAATACGACTCTACATACCCCTGATCATTACACACTTTTAAACTCCACTTAAAATGGTTCAATTATTTAAAAAAGAGTTTGTGAATTGAACGTGAGTGCACAACACCTCCAACAACACACACATATTTCATTGTTGTTATTATTATGCATTATTATGACGGAATTTAACTTGACGCACATAAATTGCTGATTAGTCGGAAGAGTTATGTGCCAGGGCTTTTCGTTCCTTCAGTTGAAAACCTATAAATTTGTATCTCTTTCAGTTCGCCTGGCTGTTGGACTCGCAACCTATAATGGATGTCTCCCTGCATCATCGCTTCGCAATTGGGCAGTATGTTGATATATCCGGCGACGTAATAAGCCATTTAAATATCTCACATGTGCGACCCGACGATGGCGGATTGTATAAGTGCGTGGCCACCAATTCAATGGGCAGTGTGGAGCATGCAGCTCGGCTAAATGTCTACGGTAAGTCGAGAAATTGGCTATAAAATCAATACCGTTAGCCGTGACTTCGACGAGAGCCTTTGACCCTTATTGTGTGCCCTATCACATGTCAAATTTAGGACAGCCTGACCATCTCTTGTATGCCAAACAATGCAATTCGCATTGCTAGCTAAACACAAAAACTGCAAAATACAAAAGAAGTCGACTGGCTGTTGGATCCTGAGCCTTGCTGAGCCGTCTGCCCTGATTGGAAATATTGTCAAGGCAACAAGGCGACAACGCCGACCAGACAACAGACAAAAACAAATTTGCTAGAGCTGAAAAAGAAAAAAGTTCGATTTACGGCATTAAATGCTTCATTGCGCGCCAAGAAAAACGCTTCCTTCAGGCTCGACGAGGGCGATAATAATGATGATGATGATGACGATGATGGCGCTATCATTCCAATCATAATATACCATTGCTTCCATTCCATCGAGGCCACGAACATGGCAGAAAACCTCACTGTACCATCCAACGAACGCTAACAAGCTGTCTGGGCGGGCTGCTGGCTGTACTCGTATGTATTGGCTGCGCAGGGAGTAGGATAATCACTGTCAGATCAGACTATAAACTGCAAATATTAAAATGTAAACACGCCAGCTCGCATGAATGGGCGACTGTCAGCGTATTTGTTAGTGTGGGCGCTGCCGGCGAGTGCGTCTGTGTGCGGAAATGTCTGGCTGTCGTCGGTTAATAATATTTTTGAACTTTTCAGCATTTTAAGCAGCTTGAAAGCGTAATCTCAATGTGTTAATAATGCATAATCGAAACATAGTGTGTGTGTGTGTGACATACGAATATGAATCATACGCCCTGTATGGCCCATGATTGATTATGATGTTGCTCCATCCGTAGATTGTCTGTAGAACGAGCGTGCGTATATTTGATATTAAAGTGGGCGTGAAACGCTCAATATATTGAGTTATTTTGATAAATTATGGCAGTCATTCCAAAACTGTATTAGATAGAAGATAGTGGGAAGATAGGAATGGAAGTATGAAGTCATTTCCAGATACTCGCAGCTGTAGCTGCCACTTGCAGCAGTGAACTTTTTCGCCAAATCAGCTCAAAAATGCCATTGCAGAGGAGTAGATACAAAAGATTCGGCTACATTGGAAAACATTATATTATATTTCATTTATTTAAAAAGAAAAATTAAATAAAAAATTATTTAAAAAAAAAAATTCTTTTAACAAAATTGAATTAATGAACTAAATTAAATAAAATTTATTTAATATATACATAGAAGACATGCTTATGTACAGTTTCAACAGCATACATCATCGGGTCTATGCGTGTTTATATGCGTGTATGTATGCAGCACAAAGTTGAACCAAAGCAGCAACAACAACAACAGCTGCGGGCAGCGCTGCAAGCAGAGCAAGGGCAGCGGTTTTATTTATGGCTATAACTTTCTTCATAATTGACCTATCATGATGACACGTGGCATACGGACAAATAACCACAAACTGGATGTATATGTCAAATTTGAGTTCAAATTTCCAAGAATTACCGGAGTTAGGAAAAACACGAAAACACAAACTCGATCTGCCTAGGGTTTCGGGGAACCTGAATGTCAAGTTTGATTATCCTAGCTATTGTAGTTGCTGGGATCGTTGCGCTCATACAGACAGACGTAAGGACGCACAGACGAACATAGCTATTAGTCTTGTCATTCTGATCAATAATATAAATACTCCTTCTCCCTGTTACATACATTCGCACAAAACTAGTATAGCCTTTGGGTACAGGCTATAAAAATGTTTCTCATAGCAGAACAAATACTTGTATATAAACGTAGGATTATTTCCATGAATGTGAAAGAGAAAGCATAACATCCTGAATAGCCAAAAATGCCTAAAGGGCTTCAAATTAAAACTTATGTAAGTTAGACGACCAAAAGCGAACTTATAGTTTCAATGCATGGTCGAAAGATGATTAAGATTTTTTCAATAAAGTACGTCAATATCAATAAAAATAAACCATCGATTACAAACCTAACACATGGTTCAACGAATTCAGTTCTCCCGTCCAAAAACAAAACACATACACACATTAGGGTGCTTGGTTAAGCACATAAGCAGGCAGGCTGCTTAATTATGAATATTGCAATTTATTCAGCGTACTTACGCATGCATATCGCTGCATTAGCATCCCAAAAATGTATACACACACATACACATACACATGCACACACACACATGGCGCCTGCATTAACGGCAAATGTTACATAATGTATTTTTGACCAAAAACCCATAAAATGTTAATTATTCTGGATGTGCGGCTGACGCTGAAACGTTTGCCTAATTGCATTTTGCGACTAATTCAATAAATTGCACAATGCATGACAGTAATTTACTAATACTTGCAAATGAGAGAGCACTGAGAAAGTAAAGCACTATTGGTTGGGATAAAATATATTCCCTTAAAGCATATTTGTAGTGCCGATAATATACATGGAAGAGATAATATACTTTTATCATAAGACACGAAATTTGAATCTATTTATTTTGTATTTTATTTAAATAAATCCATCAAGCTGTCGATACAGATTACTATAAGATGTTTTATATTATATCATGATATATTATATTTCAATAAAGATATAGAAATGTATTATACTCTGTACATGAAATGTACAAGAGTATATTAGGTTTGCGGGATCTGAAAAATGTAACAGGCAGAAGGAGGCGTGGCAGACCCCACAAAGTATACATATTCTTGATCAGCGTGACAAGACGAGTCGATCTAGCCCTGTCTGTCTGTCTGTCCGTCTGTCCGTCCGTATGAACACCTGGATCTCAGAGACTATAGGAGAGACAGACACCAAATTTTGCACAAAGATGCCTTATGTGTGTATTCTATACGAGTTTGTTTTATTTTTTTGATTTTCCCCCCACTTCCCTCCTATGTGGGTTTTTCCGATTTACGCAAAAAATGTGTATTTTGAAATTTCCCTCCCTCCCCCTCTCCCATGCATATCGAAACGCCCGTAATTCCCCCAGTTAGTTATTATGTGTCCCTATGCCAAGTTTCACTATGATAGACCGATTTAACTAGAAGTAATAGCCATAAATATATTTGCTGCTGCAGCGCTGCTTAAGCACTGCTCGCGGCTGTTGTTGATGCTGGTGTTTGGTTGACTGCTAACATGTTTACTCAGACACGAATATATGCGCATAGGCATACATACACTCACACAGACGCAATTGCTATGTAAATGTGCAATTATACACCCTTTACGTGAGTTCGAATACCGAGAGAGGTAAAATCGATCAAATTTTTTATTTTTTTTTATTTATTTTTTTATTTTCTATAATTATTGTAAACATATGTACATAGTATTTCAAAGTCGGGACACCCGACTTTACCTTTTTTACTTTTTCTGTTATAATTTCAACTTAGAAACAAAAATAACTATACAGTAATGTAAATAAATGCCTCCGAAACGTTATAAGATAAGCTAGAAATTAAAGAGATAAGGTGAACAAAGAGGTCCAAATATTCTATAAATTTAATTCTATATGTATAGCTTTTTTCATTAACTTCTCTTTATTTAAAACATTCCTCTACCCATTTAGAGTTAGAGATATCATGTTGAAACTTCCCATCTAAACTCCCTGTAGTTGAATAAACAAGTTCAGGTTTAAGAACATAATATATTAAAATTCGATAATGAATTTCTTAATAAATGCCATCGTATCTTAGAAAACCTGTGGGTTGAGTAAATAATTAAAGCTTGGAATAAAAGAAGGAGACGAAATTTGTAAACCCGCCACTTTTTTCTTTTAATACATCAGGTCCTCCGTATGTGCGCGCAATTGGACCCATAAAAGCAGTGGCCGGCGAAGACATAATTGTGCACTGTCCGTTCGCCGGTTATCCAATCGAGCAAATTAGATGGGAGAAGGGACATCAGGAGTTGACAACAAGTAAGACAAATTGCTCTAAAGGGGCGCTGGCCGTTGTAGAAGGCAGCCAAGCACATGACAATAACATTTTATCTACATTTCATTGCAACTTTCTTCGTCGATTTTTTATATTATTCTCGCTGGACAGGCGCTCACTATACGCTGGCCACAGTACAGGAGGGCGGTCAGCTTGTCATCAAGAGTGTTGAGCCCAGTCGGGATCAGGGCATCTACACATGCATTGTGCGCAGTCGTGCGGGTGAGGAGGCGCGTCGCGACATGCAATTGAATGTGAACAGTAAGTGAACAGTGGGGGTAGATGTGGATGGGATGGGTACGACACGCCATTTTGTTGTCGCATTAATGTCGCTGACTAATCTACTGAGCCATCACACCCACACACTATTCCATAGGTCCACCCGTCATTGAGCCCTTCAAATTTCCGAAAAATCTGCAAGAGGGCGGTCGCGCGCAAATCACCTGCGCTGTCTCCTCCGGCGACATGCCCATCTACTTTGGCTGGAAGAAGGATGACGTGTCCATTCCCAGCAGCCTGCAGGTGAGTCTTGCACACAGTTTTCGTTGCTGCAACAAAGTTTTATTTCACGATTTTGCTACATTTTGTTTCGCAATTTTATGTGTTTTTCAATTTACAAGATTACCGAGAAGAAGGAGGAGTTCTATTCACTGCTGGTGTTCAAGGATATCAGTGCCAAGCATAGTGGAAAGTATACATGCTATGCGAGCAACGCCGCGGCTAAGGTGAACTTCACAGCGGAGTTGCAAGTGCGCGGTAAGTGTAAAGGGGCTGGACAAGGGAAGGGAAGAGGGTGCTCCCGACAGCTATATCTATTGGTGCGTTGCGGCGCCGTTCAAATAAATCACGTTGGATTTGTGTGCTGCAGGGCTGTTTGCTGTTGGCTGTTGGCTTCTGGCCTGCTTCGGCAGTCTGCATTTTGTAACAGTTTGCCCTTTTTTCGGGCTACGCACACACCAACACCAACACCACCCCAGCACCTACACATGCACGCAAACACACACACACACCTGCAAACTTGTTAATTTTGCTGTTTACTTTTGCGCGCTTTTATTCGTTACGTTTTGCTGCCGGTCACGTTCTAGTGGCGCCGCGCTGGTCCTACGAGCCCATGGACACGGCCATTATGCTTGGCAACACAATATCGATAAATTGCGAGGCGGAAGGATATCCGATTCCAGCTATTACCTGGTTCAAAGGACAGAGTAAGTTTTAGTTTATTTTATGCGGCCAATACGGCTCGTGCCATGCCAAGTACTACAGCTAGCTGGGGTTCATTAATGTTTGATGAGCAGACGCGTGTGGGGGGCCAGTCGAAATAAACTGAAACCCAACCCGGCCCAATATCGAGGACTATCTGCATTCTGTGGTATTATTAATTAGAGCCATACGATTTAAATGTACCGTCGGGATGGGGCAATTAGTTTAATGGCAGCCTGCGTGCTAATCAATTAAAGCGTTTTATTTCAATGACAGGCAAAGCTTCGAAGGATTTTAAGCCACTGAGCATGCGGAATCACTCGCTGCTCTTAAATCTGGCCACGGACAACGATGAGGGCTACTATATGTGTCAGGCAACAAATGAAATTGGAGCTGGCTTAAAAAAAATAATACGCATTAATGTAAATGGTAAGTTGGCGGTATCTTCAATATAAATGAAGTTATTACAAATCCCAGATATGTTTACGTATAGTACGTATATAAGATAACATATATTTTAAATGATAATAAGACGAGATAAGCTGATTCATGTAGCTATTAGAGAATTGTATTAATGAGTGAGGTGCGCCACACTGGATAAGTATATGAACAGATGCAGATTTCTATTTATCAGATGGAGCTAAAATAAGTTTAAATAATAACACGTTATTTCGGGATATATTTAGACGAGTTTGTTTAGACTAAGGGCTTCTTCTTCTTCTGTGTATTGGAGCTTTGTATGTACATATAGCTTACAACCGAAAGGTACATGCCCCTGCTCTGCCAGCGGTCGTTGATGCTGTGTTTTAGGGTGTACGGAGAGTTATTTGTTATCTTAAAACTTTTATATATTATTATATCCAGCTTACACTGATATAACTCAGTATGTATGCAGACGTTCTTAGCAAATATACACGGGCCTATTTCTATTTCTTGATAATGGAGCGAAACAAAATCTGGGTACAGGGTACGACTCTTAAGGTTAGCACATGGTTTTTATTCCCTGTACCCGTAGGGTAAAAGGGTATATTAGGTTTGTGCAAAGTTTGTAACATGCAGAAGGAAGCATCGCCGACCCCGTAAAGTATATACTTGTATATTCTGAATCAGCATGAAGAGAGAAATCGATCTAGACATGTCCGTCCGTCTGTCCGTCTGAATGAACGCAAGGATCTCAGAAACTATAAAAGCTAGACTAACCAAAGTTGGCATCCAGATTCTCCTAGGTCCGAGAAAGGACGAGTTTATTTTATTTTTTTTAATTCCCATTTAATTCATTTTCTTCTCTTTATTTAGAGCCCGCGCGGTTCGAACAGCCAGCGCGCAATATATCATCGCGTCGAAACGATCCCGTGACATTGAACTGCCATGCCAAAGGTGACGAGCCCATTTCCATTGGCTGGACGCACAACAACGGGCGCATAGACTTGAATAATTTCCGCTTTAGTATTGCGGAAATGAAGACCGAAAAGGGGGTGGACTCGCAGCTGACCATTGCCCACTCAGATCGTCATGATTCAGGCCTGTACAAGTGCATAGCGGAAAATCCTTATGGGCGCGCCGAGCAAATTATATTTCTGGCCGTGCAGGAGCGCCCCGATACACCCTCCAATCTCGAGGTCTTTGAGGTTGGCTCGCGCACAGTTAAGCTAAGCTGGCGTCGTCCCTTTGACGGAAACTCGCCCGTGCTTAGTTATCTGGTGCAGTACCAGGCACTCAAGTATTTACAGTCCCATGCCTCGCTAGGTGCTGCCGGCGGCGACTGGAATGGGATGAACGTCATCAACGTCAGCTTGCCATCGACGAGCATTAGCAAAAGGTTGAAAATTGGTTTAGAGTTTTACGGCGTTTGTCGTCAATTTCTTTTTTCTTTTCTTTTGCCTCAGCTACGACAGCGACCTGCGCGAGAGCGCCATTGTGGCGGGCCTAACGCCAGCCACTACCTTCCTAATACGTATGCAGGCCATTAACGAGATTGAGCGCAGCTCCTACACTGAGCCTATTGTATTGAAGACGCAGGAGGAGGCACCCACCGAGGCACCTTCCAACGTGCAGGTGCAGACGGGGGGCGAGAGCGAGTTGATTGTTACGTGGCAGGTGGGTGGGGGATCTTCAGAGTTTGTGGCCGCATAAGCCAGCGCTGCTTTAATTCCAGATACCGCCACGTGAGTCCTGGAATGGCGAACTAATTGGATATACCGTCAACTGCACTGAGGAGAAACAGAATATCAACTACATTAGCGTCGTTAATAGTTCTCTAAAGTCGGTAATTGTCAGTGGCTGGGCGACCACGAAGGCGACGCTCCGAGGCCTACGCAAGTACACACGCTATGCGGTCACAGTGCGGGCTCTGAACAGCTTCGGCTCTGGACCGTGGAGTGCGGCCATCTTCGGCACCACAGCGGAGGGCGGTAAGTGAAAGGGCGCTTCTAATGAGCGCTCTGAACATATATTGATGTCTCTCGCTTGGTGTAAATACAGTTCCCGAGGCGCCACCGCAACATGTCAACTGCACGGCGTTGTCATCGCAGAGTCTGAAGATTTCCTGGCTGGAGCCGCCGTTGCAATTCCATGGCGGCATTGTACAGGGCTATAAAATTTTATATCGCCCAATTGTGCAGCAAAGTGAGTATGCGACTTGAAAGTGGAAACTTTTTACATACATGTGTAACTCATGTGGGTTACAAGTCCATCATAGCGATACAGCTTCTGAGTTGTTTTGGCTGCGAGATATACTATACTACTTATTGAGCTAAGAAACTTTTTCAATGCTACCAACTTATTTTGTAGCTCTATTTAAGCTCCCGTGAAGTCATGCAAACGCTTGAAAATAATAAATTCATTACCCAACACGAAAGCTCAGAATCTCAGGCTCTCAGCATTCCTTTTATGGAATGGAATGTCCAGTAGTTGGAAAAGTTATGGATAATGCCATTGACCTCTTATAAAAATATAAACATCAGCTGAAAATGCTTCACTTTATTGCATCTGCGCGTTTCTGTGTCAGTCGAGAAAAAAGGAATCAAAAATAGGCCAAATGGTTTATCGAACTTTGGCACAATTTAGAGATTTGGGTGAAAACTCATTTTCCCAAAATCTCAATTCTTTCATCCTCTTCTATATATTCACATAGCCACAGTTAGCTTACAATGGCGAGTGGATTGACTTGGCTTGAGGGCTGTCGCCAATCAACAGGGTATCAGAATTCTGTGGTTGCAAGTTGAGACTTTATCGAGCTGATTTTGTTGATATTGCGAGCGCAGTGCACAATGCAAACAAACTGGGAAAGGGATATACTCGTGTATTCTGGCCCTATAAAGGCTGTCAGTCTGACAGACAGTCAGTCAACGAGAGAGCAAGTCTGTTGTCTGCTTGGTTGGGTGGTTGCTTGTCGCACGTTTATTGGTTTTTGGCGCCGGGTTCAATGAGGGTCCTTGCCAATGCTGGCGACGCCAGAACCCTCAAGTGCTGATGAGCGTTCAAGTTGTTGATTTTTACTGTAGGTTTAAGCATGATTTAAATCAATTTTTTTCTGTTTCTATCTTCTGCATCACATCGATGAATGAATCGATACACGCAACGCATCTGCGCCGCAAACCCGCAGTTGACTTTCCTGCAAAGCTGGAGATAAAACGCACCTCGAACCTCGAAACCTATTTGCATACACTGCACAAGGCCACCAATTACTCGTTGCGCGTGCTGGCCTACACAGCGACCGGCGATGGGATGGCCAGTCATCCGTTGTATTGCCAAACCGAGGACGATGTGCCTGATGCTCCGGCGTCCATAAAAGCTGCCGCCTTGACGGCTGATTCAATTTTAATTTCATGGCTGCCGCCGAAAAATCGCAATGGCATCATATCGCATTATACTGTGTATGCGCGAGAGGCGGGCCGCAAGGGTCAGGCCAAGTGTAAGTAGAGCGTAAAAGAAAAAGTGTGGGGACATGCATACGTATATGTTACTATTTCTTCTGTCTTCCTTTTTTTTATTTAACCTCCGATTGCTAATCCAGCCCACATGGTGCGTGTGGATGAGAACGGCTATCCTGTGACTTTCGAGTCTCGCAGCCTTGCTGAAAATCAAATGTACGAGTTTTGGGTATCGGCGTCCACATCGGTGGGGGAGGGCGAGCCAACTTCTGTGGTGGCGCAGGCCACAAATACGCGAGGTATGTTGCCAATCCTTTACATACACCAATAAACACATTTATGCAGATACAGTAAAGGCTCACAAATATGGACATACTAGATAAATCCCTTCTACAGAGTTGGGCTGAATAGCTATGTATCTTGTATAGTAAGATTTGCATTGAATTTCCTAACTCACTTAAAACAATGCATTTTTTTCGCTTTATGAAATTCTAACAAATTTATATTTTTTCCCCTAAAAATGTTAAACATTTTAAAGATTAGCAGAAAGTTTGTTCAATAGCGGCGTTTGTACTTTTAAAATGTGAACATTTTTTGCGAGGCATGTCAGAATAATTATAGAGCTAATTTTCCATGTAACAACCGTTACTATACATAGAGATATAGCGGTGTTATGTAGAGTCATGCTTTTGTTACAGTTTTCGCAAATTGTTTTTTTGTTGTTTTTTTATTTTAATTAAAATTTGACATTTTGCGCCCGTTCGGTGCTAAACCGCAGCAACCACATTAACCGAGCCATTTTTCACCTGCGGCACTTGCCACCAAACTGCAACATGGCTTGGCCACACGCTTAACTGTATGCTATGCTTTGTTTGTGCAGCGCCTGCTCGTATTGCCTCATTTGGCCGATTGGTGCGCAAAGCGGTCGGAACGGGCCTGGTGCTGGAGTGTTTGGCTGTGGGAAATCCCACACCGCGTGCTCGCTGGCTGACCCGCGACCGCCCTGTTACATTCAGCCCCTTCTACGAGGTGACCAACGAGGGCAATCTGCGCATACATCGTAAGTAGGCGATGGCGACATTTTAATATACATTTTTTCATTTCCTCATCCTTTTCTGCATTTTTAATGTTGCCGCCTGTTCTGTCTCTCTCCCCCTGGCCCTTGCAGGCGTCGAAAGCAGCTTGTCCGGAAATTACACTTGCACAGCGAACAATCTCTTCGGCAATGACGAAATCCAATATCAGGTGATTGCCATGAAGCCGCCCAGCGCGCCACAAATCATCGTGCAGTATGCATCCGCTGACAGCATACGTGTCAGTTGGGACCCGCCAGAGGACGGGGGCGCCCCACTGCAGGGCTACACCATCTCGTATCACATCACCAGCGAGACGTGGTCACAGACCGAGTTGATGCCAGAAAATAACGCTTACACGATTACGGGCCTGAAATGCGGAAATCAGTATATTATAAAAATGTCGGCGCACAACATGGTGGGCACTGGTGTGGCCAGTGAGGAAATTAATGTCTGGACGAAGGGCAAAGGTGAGTAAATAGATGGATAAGAGGACGTGTATGCGACCGACCACTAGGTATGCATTTGAAACTAGAATATGCCAAAAGTGCTGGTCACTCTGTAGTGCGGTCGTATTCAAATTTCACGAGCTAGTGTCGACCACAAAAGCCACTCGCTCAACACGAAAATACAGCTTTATTTTCAATCAAGTGTTGTTATTATTGCTGCTCCACATTTTCCCGCATTCCATTCCATTTCAGCCTCCCAGGCGCCAAATGGCAACGAACTAATTGCCACCAATGCAACGTGCGTTAATTTAAAGTTGTCATCATGGCATAATGGCGGCTGTGCCATTCATCATTTCTCCATCGAACATCGACCCCTGGGTGAGTGAGCATTTATTAAATTAGTAAAGCAACGCATTCACATTATTGGTTACAGTCGAAATCGCTTGCACTAAACTTAGTTTAATTCAAAAATCATTTACACATCTTATGACCAGACAATATTGAATTATTTTTTTGGGGGAACTTTGTTTTGTTTTTTAAATAACATCTAACTATATTGGGCATGTATATATATCCGACTCTTAAAACAAGTAAGACTGTTTAAGCATCCAAGGCAGTTTCTATAAAATAAAACACATTTAATTTTGGGAAAAACATATGTATTTATAAATGATCCCATTTAGTATTGGACTAAATCTTCTAAGGATCTCCAAAGATTAGTAAGTAGTTTTTTTTACAAAAAAATAGAGGAAAGCAGCTGAGATGCAGCTGATGATGAAGCAGTATTGACTTAAGAACTATGTTAAACCCAGTACATACATATATACACATGTACTTAGACTTACTAAATGATTTTTCTTCGTGCAGGGGTCGCACTGTATCCATAAATAAACCAATAAATATAATACAAGGCCGACTGCCAACATATTTCAACATATTGTGTTTCTTTCATTTAATTTAATTTAATTAATGTCATAACTTTAATTTTCATTCAACTATAATTTTCCTGTACAAATATTTATAAACAATTTTAAATAATCTGCAACGAAGTGTGAAGTACATGCATATTCCATCAAATTCACGCATGTTTTCATGACATTGTCATCGTTTTTTTTTGTGCCCGCTGCTCCCTCAGGCGACATACGCTGGACTGTTGTCACATCGGATATTTCAAATGCCGAGGAAAATCGTGATAATTTAATATTCTGCGACTTTCTGCCCGCAAAATGGTACCAGCTGCGCATCTCTGCCACTAACGATGCTGGAAAAACGACGGAGCATTATCATTTCAGCACGACGAGTATTGACGGCGTCACCATCCCACCACCCCCGGTGTTCCCATCGGAAAACGATTTGATGAACAATCTGATAAATGCGACAAATCCGACCAACGGTGATTGGTTTGCAACATTAATTGTCGTGCTCATAATTAAGGTGGCCATCATAACGATGTAAGTGCAAAGGTTTGCGGGGCCCTCGGCGCTTTAACTGATTACTTTATTTTAAATGAGCCTTATTTTGTGGGGGTACGCAATAGAACATTAGAGGGAGGATAAAGGCGAAGGTTGTAGAATTTCACAGTGTGGCAGTTAATGCAGTTAATGGGGATCCCCCACATATCGTTACAAAAAATTAAAATTTTGATTAAATAATGCACGACGCATTTAAAGAATAACTTATACATATGATCAATGAAAAAACTTCAACAAATCCAACTCAGATCCATTTTAAGGCGAAATAGTGCGACATAATAATGAACGTTTGGTCGACTTTATATGGCAAAATTTTTTCTAGGGTGAGCAACGTCACCTTTAGGTTTATTATTTCCTTATAGTACAAAGTTTTATATTTAAATAAAAATATAGAAAAATACGTACTATATACATATGGTTAGATTTAGTTACATATTGAGATTTAATATATGTACTTCTTTTGGGCTGAAAGATACTGATGCATTATAACTTCCCATAGCAATGACCAACCCACGGTGCAAGAGTATGCGTTCATTGCTTGGTTGGCTGAGCATTTTAATTACACGCCTAAACGTCCAATGAATGTGTTATTTCTTTTTGCAGCGCGCTGACCATCAAACATCGCCGCACCTTGTGCGGTCCAGTAGCCGAGGGCTACGAATCACGCACCCTACCTGGTGAGTACAAAGAGGAGCATGAGAACAGACGCAACCAGCAGGTCTATAGTGCTTCCCCGGTGAAGACAGTGGACAAGGGTAACGAGTCGGGTGAGTGCAGTCGATTAAATTGTTGGCTTCTGTATCGTCGGTGTACGTGCCCCGCTGCAAGCGGCAATTAAACGGCCACACATTATGCTTACGCTGCATCTTCTTTCTACTCTTTCTCCCCTTTCCACCCTTTCTCCACTCTGTGTACTTTCTGTACCTTGTACACGTGACTGAACCAGAAATGTACGAGATTTCGCCGTATGCTACGTTCAGCGTCAATGGCGGCCGCACGGGAGCGCCCGCCAAGACACCCACACGCGGAGTGGGCGCCCAAACGCCCCTGGACTACACCATGCAGTTCAAGACATTTGGCCACCCAGAGGGCGAGAATCTTAATGCTACGGCATACCCGCTTCTGCCCAGTGCTGGTTTCGGGCATGTGAAGAGCAAGTCCAGTTGGCACAAACAGCGCTACTACAACACGGATGGTAAGTGACACAAAGTCCGTGGTGGATATATGTCAGTGTGTCTAAGTCTGTCGATATATGTGTGTAGATGAGTCCACGCTTAGTAAATCGATGACCATAGTGGCTGGCTCCCAGTCGGGAGGCCACGCGAAAAAGTCGGGCGGCAGTCGAAATCCCAAGGGCAGCGCTAGTGCCAGCGGCAGCAGCAACAACACCGGCATGGGTGTGGTCGGGCAGCACTGCGAATCGGAGTCTGATACCAGCATCAGCCCCAGTACTGAGTTTTCCAACATGCCCACGTATCGAGTTCCTTGCAAATCCGCGCGCAGCAGCGACGGACGCGCCGTTGTAGGTTCGTATGCTGGTCTGGGCTGTGGGCGTTCGGTCGCACCAAACCCATACTATCTTTCAGATATGTTTCGCCCGGACTCGAGCACCGAGTCCAACAATGATCAGGGCTCTCCCGCACTGGAGCGCCGTCTCAATACGCCACGGCACATCAACATTACAGCTTGCAGCAGCGGTGGCAGTGGAGGGGTTGTCATGTCCCATGCCGAGAAACGCAGCTCTGGGCAGCGCAGCCGCAAGCATGCGTCGCAGCAAAGCAATCAAACGTTGGAGCGACGAAAGTGCCCTGGTATTAACAACAGGTAGTTCAGGTACCTAAACCCTAAACGAATCCAAAATCAATAAGGAAATCTATATTCTTCGGCCTGCCGAGGATAACATACCGTTGCAAACTTTTTTGACATCTAAATGGTTGCATCAACCGAACATCCTGTCAAAATTTTTGGTATCCCTATGAACTACTTGTTTCTATGACTTGACAAATATTAGATTTCTACAATTTTCATTTTCAATGCGCCATTAGATGAAGAAATCTTCAAAGAGAATGCATTTTTATAGGGAGATTACAAATCAAAATATAAATACTTTCGGAGAAACATATATTCGGTAACTATGAGATTGGTTCAGACGTGTCCAACACGATTTGTCATGATTGTCATAAAAACATAGCAAAAGTTGTCAAACCAAATCTTTGCCAAGGTATAAAGATAATAAATGTCTAGGCTAGAGGTGTGCGTGTATGAAAGGCCACAGACGACTCCGTTCTTATAAGAAAACTGCTTTTTGTTTCGTATTCGTAAATTAAATAAACAACGTATATATTTAATTATTAATTATTAAATTAAATTTTTTAAAATTACTCTTGGTTCTAATGATTTATTAAAGAAATACAATTATTATCATAAACATTTAATGTATAAGCAGTAAATGCATCCTCAATGGACGGTAAATAATTGGATTTTTTACATATTTTGATGAGAATGTTGAATTGTAAAAGATTTCGTAAAATATTCGCATACACATACACCGCCAGCCTAGGGCAAAAATTTGCAACTTGGTTAAGAAAATTGAAGACTTTGTGGCAATCTAAATTGATTTCGTCACCATTCTGTAGTGGAGACAGTGAGGTGAACGCGGAAACGGCCGCCTCGTTAGCCGCCTCCATAGCCGCCATGACGGGTGGTGATGTGACAGGCTTTCGCCCGCCTACTGGCTTCAACGATGGTCGCGAGTTCGCCGATCAGGCGGAATGCGAACGCGAGCAACGCGCCCTGGATCTGGAGGTGCAACGCGTCATGGAGAACACTAGTGAGGCACAGCTGGCCAAATTGGATCGCGAGGAACTAACTTCACTGTTGGCAAGGTAAACTAGCAATTAACAGCACCATTTAAAAACCCAAATGCTTGACTGTAGCTTGTTGCATGCCTGTAGCGTCTACCTACCTTGAACATCAAAATGACTAACACCCCTGCGCCCCATAGGTATCACGAGAAGAAGGAGCAGGAGCGTCACGAATATACCATACACGTTTAATAGTTACCTAGGCATACACAACTTAATGGCATGTATTAAGCTTATATACAAATCACAGATACGGACACGGACACAGACACAGACAACAGATGCATTTAAAGGCATTTAATAGAAAGATATTCAAGCAAATTAACAGAATCTCACCCAACTGTAAGTGTTGTTTATTTAGTATACTACCTACTTATACTTATACAAGTATATACATATATACATAGATAAGCATATAAGGCCGGCAGCGCACTCTTAGTCTAAGAAAATTGAAAGACTATATTCGGTTACACAGCGAAATTGGTCCATTTTGGAAAGTCTGAAATCAAAATAAACCAAAATAGGCGGATTTCCCTGTTCCTAGCTAGTACACTTGTATAGCTGCTGACTTAACTCACGGGAACCCGGCGTGGATGCCCGATCTTGATTATTGTATAAAGATGACGATTCTTAAATCTATACGAACACTCTTAAAACGTCTGTTAGTTAATTAAGTCTAGGCTTATGTGCGTACGATACATACTCGTACATACAAACATATGTGTAATTCAATTTGTTGTGATAAATTAAATTGTTCAAACCATACATACATACGTGTACTTAAAGTTGGGTTGATGTTGAGTTTAAGCGGTATTTCATGTTCTTTATTAATAAATACTCGATATTTAAAGAGCATAACAGTAAGTGTATGTTAAAAATGCGTGCGCGTTTTTGTATTATTTCATATGAGTGCAAATAAAATAAAACGTTTATGATTATGGAATTTAATTAAAATAGATAATCAACAATAAAATTGTATGGTACCTTAGGTAAATATATGTATGTGTAATGTATATGGAATCAAATGCGACAAAAAGCAATTGCACATTAACTGAATAAAATGCAAACGTGTAAAAACAAACAAACTCGTATTCAGTTGTTTTCATTACGCCAAAATGTTGAAATGAAACTCAACTTTGGTGTGTGTCTGGGCAAATATTTTCCTTAGCAAATGAGAGTAAGCCCAATCAATCAAAAGCACTGCCAGCTAACCACAAGTTAGCGGTCGTCGTAGACAACAAACCGAAATCAACAGCAGGCCAGTAGTTAGGCAAGGCAGTCTGTGTAAAAATAACGGAGGTGGTGCAATCAGCACCATCCACCATACTGTGGCTACAAATTCGGAGCAACTGCACTAAGCCACAAGGCTTTGGATTTACTCGTACATAGCAGCACCCGTGCACGCACAGCCCGGAAATGGATACCAGCATTACTGTTGTTATGTTTACCAGCTGTTTGTTGCATGCTTCAAAACTTTGTCAATTTTCGCAACAACTTTTGCCGAAGTCATGTCAATAACGTCAGTATAGACTGGGTCCTCGAGCTAGCAAACAGCATTACCTTCCGCTTTCAAGTTGAATCTCTTGGGCGCACTGAACTAAATGTTCAGGCCCACATTAAGTATACACATTTTTAAAACTTTCAAGTACATCTTTGATTGAAAGGTGTATTCTCTGTTCCTGTTAATGGATATACTCGTATAAGGGTTGGGTAACGGCAATAGAGGAGCACAGCTGACTACGCATTTAAAGAAGTTTTTTCTTTTAAGGAAAAGTATCCGCTTTCCGCAAATCTTTACAACAACTTAATGCAATAGAAAAGTTACGAAATTTTATAACAATTATATATAAACTGCAGTAAATAAAACTTGTGACGAAAATGTGTTAAATCAAGCCTTAATTAAAAAACAACAACAGCGGGTAAGGAACGACAGAGACAACATTTATGAATGGCAAGCCATCAGAAGTGAAAGAAAGTCTAACAAGATGAAATTATATTGCTGGGCAAAACAGTAAAAAGGTAAACTGAAAAGTATAAGCGCCATATGCATGTAACAGGCAGTAGAACCTACATATGTCCCGTATTAATACTGATAGATTTTGAACTATAATTGGAATGCATTGTATGACTTATCCATACGCGGGTCAACTTCATTAAAGACAACATAAGTATAGCTTCATTATTATATACAAGTATATGTGTATATAGCCCCCTCAGGTCCAATTGGTGCAGAAAATTGCGCTAACTAGAATAACTTTTCTTTTTTACAAGACATTCTTGCAAATATGACAATTGAAAGTTTCTTAGAATTCGTTGCAATTATCTCCACAATTTACACAATAATAATTTGTAGTACGAACAACTTTTCATACCCTTGATATGTTTGTGGGTTTGTGTGTTCGTAATCTGAAGCGCCACAAGTATGAACGCCTGTCCTTCTTTCTGTGTTTAATTTAACCTTTTTTATAATTAACTGAATATAATAAAATAAATGATATGCATGTGCAGAGATTACATTTATGCCTCTAACTATGTATATAAACATTAAATAATGAGACCTGACACATGACTTCCGTTCCGTATGAATTAACCTCAAATGTTAAATAGAAACAATAATTCTTCAGATTTGTGTTCAGAGTCACACGGTTAATATAAACAAGAAAATTCAATACTCATCAACAAAATTCCAATCCTTAATATGAGTGAACGAAACAATGACACACTTTATATATCTCTAACAATTTCAAACGCAATTTACGCCATAATTCTAAAGCTTCATAAAAGGCTATTAGCGCCATGTTTCCATTTTGTCGCCATTTTGTATTATTGTGGTTTTAAAAGTGCTCGACCTGCATTTAATATTGGTTCCTGATTGGGCTTCAATTATATGGCCGAATAAATACAATTACTTTTGGACGTCTGATTGCATTTCTGTGGTAAAACTGTTTTGCTTCACTGCTTCTATGGGAGAGTTCACAAATGTACATTAGCAGAATGAGACTTGAGTGTTTATTTACGCAAATGCATCAAATATGCGAGCTGCGTGCGAGATGCGTACGAGGCAAATATTAATATTTATTTGCGAAATAATTGTGTATGATTTGTGGCTGTGCGAATAGTTTAGTTCATTTTACATCGAAGTGCAAGGCACAGAGTAGCACTTAAAGCACATTCATTATTTATCAAGCATACGCCCCATATATCACAAGCAACGGAAATCCAAAATCGATACGCTTGACATGCACTTCTCTGCGTATGTGTGTGTGTGTGCTGGCTTATGTTCATTTTAGGCTCTCCACTGACATGATTTTGGATGGCTGCACTTTAAGAAATGTAGTTAGTATGTATTTTGGCTCGATTAAGGGCTGAAGTACAAGCGAGTAAGTTTGAATAAGCAAAAATCGATTTCAATTAGTTAAAGCTGTAGGCAGTGCTTTTGTTGGTAGCGTTTGTATCTGTATGTGTTTGTGCTATGCAAATGAACACGTAAGGATAATGTTGTACGACAATAATAGCAACAACAAAAACAGCAACAGCAGCAATAATAAAGCAAACACAATAAGATGCAAAACAACAACCAGAATGCAATGGCCGAAGGGTGACAGCGTTGACAACAACAATCTCGTAACAGATTATCTTCAGTAGCATGGAAGCTCTATACCCTTCAATCTCGATTCTTACTGAAACTTTTCAAATTTAGACTTACATTTTCAGTTTGAGCTTTATATGTTTTTTTATGTTGCAACAAAATCATTGAGAGGTAATGGTTTCCTGATCTGGTCAGTGTCCAACGATGTTCTTGCATCTAAGTAGTTGTTGAAATAAGCTGGTGTGTAGGAAAACTGAACGACGATCAGATGGATACAACTCTTATTGTTATTATTATTTATACATAGACCTACAAAGGCCTATGTGTCTCTTTTTTACTTGTTAAACATATGCATACCCCTTTCATTCTAGGTGAAGGGTATACTAATGCAATTTCAGCAAATTCAAAACCCGAAATTGCAAAAGGTTAGTTCTACACACAGCAACATCAGCCAGCAGCAACTTGTCCAAATTTAGTTGTAACGCACACAGCACTCGAGCCCAGCACTGAGGACACACGCAGCGTGCAGCAAGCCGCACGCAGGATAAGCTGCTGTACACATTAGCAGCCACAGTACAGCACACGCAGTAGTGCAGATAAAAGGGAAGGGCCAGGACGGCAACAGCAGGAGCACAACTTGCATTTAATAACGTACCACATGCCTGTGTAAGTGTTCGTGCGGCCATTGTCGTATATGTATGTGCTTGTGTGTGTTTGTGTGTGTGTGCGTATCTGCAGGCATGAAATGCCATAGTGATGAGCACGTGAAGAAATACCAAAAATGTGAAATGTGGAAAACATTCCTGAACCCATTTACAATTTTGGAGGACAAGATAAAGGAAAATAAATAATTAAATACAAACAAATAACATTATTCCATAAATCCTAATGTTTTTTATTGTTAATTTTAATCAAATATATCACAAAACAGTCAGCACAAACACTACAAATGTCTCTTTAATTAGATGAACAACTATTAGTACACGTTATACGACTAAAATATTTATTCTGCTTATGAAATTGAGGAATTACAAAAGGGAACTTTTATTAAAAATGAACAACAGGAAGAATTTTTCAATAAATGTGAGTTATTAATGCATTATTTGTTATGGCAGGATATTTTGTAAGATAATTTCAAAATAAGATTGGTGCTTGAATTTTAGTTTTCCAAATGTGAAATTTATTGTATACTCGTATAGTATGCAGAAGCTGACACAACTAGAAGCTGACACAAATATAATCTGTCATTCGAATATTTTAAGCATTTAGCGAAAATTAATCTCTATCAATAGTTATCTTTAGTATTTATAAGATGTATGGCTTTTATGTTAGATGTCGACCATGTTGAATTCAATGCTTTAAAAATGTAAGGTTCATTTAAATGTAATACAAATAATATAAATTGAAATGCAGGTAAAAAAAATGAATTAAGTAGCGTGAGTCGATGTTATAGTAGGCATGATTGCAATGATGGGATGTTTTGTCCACCCATATCCAGAGTGCGTGTAACTGTGTAGGCTTTATAATCGCATGGGCTATATTGCATGCTGTTTTCAGTTTGGTTAGCTTTACAGTACTGACCCGAGCAGCAGTTGGTCGGTTGCCGGCCCAACCAGAGGAGACATTATCTACAAATGCTTGCGAGACTCATGAAACTGAAATGCAAATGTCCTTTGATGCATTTGCACATGGCGCATAGCTGTGACCAGGGCGAGGTCAGTGAGAGGGTCAGAGGAGGATTGTTTGCGTTCTCGACCGAGATTGTGAAGCCATCAGAGAACATAGAAACGCCCACACTTCCATACAAGGAATTCATCTGCATGTATGTATAAGAACACATACACACATTGGTAAGTCTCAGTAAATGCTTTTAATTACTATTTTCAAATTAGCAAAAGGTAAATTATTTTATGTATGTATTATACATGTACATTAGTGCCTTGAATAGCTGAAATGATTTTAATATCAATAGGTAAGTATCTTATGTCATCTGCATTGTAGTTGTTATTGTTGCCACAACTAAAATTTTGCATTTTAATTTTACGAGTATTGCCAAATTAATTATGGATGGCCACTAACCTTTGCAATGCATTGAAAACGACTGAATATTTAAATGGTACTCGTATGTAGTTAAGTCATCAGCTTGGGCATTATAAATTTTATTTCACACGTAAAA